CAGGCACGTGCTACCACGCCCGGTTGATTTTTGATTTATTGTAGAGATGAGGTCTTGCTGCCCAGGCAGGTCTCGAACTCGTGGGCTCAGGCAATCCACTCATCTCAGCCTCCCAAAGGCGTGGGATTACAGGCTGAGCCACCGAGCCTGACTAAGAGACATTAAATCATTTCAACTTGTCAAGGACAGCAGCAAGAACCTGATGCATGAGGACAGTTAGACTGGATGTGTAATAGGAGAAACTTTTTAGAAACTGGAAAGAAAATGACACAGACCAAATAGAAAAGGGAACATAAAAAAACCACTCTTAAACTAAGAGTAAGTAAGCAAGCAAGTAAGGACAAAGGCAACAGAAACACTTGTATATAAGGTCTTGAACTAATGTATTACATGTGTGCCAATTACTTGAAAGGGTAGACAGGGCTCTGCACATGTACAAAATAGGACAAAGCATCCCCTGTGGGACTTAGGTCCCTATTTGAGACCACACTTCAGGAGTGCATCCTTGCAAGGGGCACATCTTATACAATCCTCTGAAGTAATCCTGATGCTAGATACTCTGTGGGGATCAAAAAATATAAAATGACCTACTATAATCTCCTGTTATCAAGGAATGTACATTTAGAAAGATAAGATCTATATATGCAGCTATAGTACCTATCTGCTAGAAAGCTTCAAAGTGGTCAGAGAAAATATGCTGAAGGAAAGGACAAGTATGGCTATTACAAGGGCAACTTCTTAAATCTCCAAGAGAAATTAGTTAGCATTTGTGGTAAAATGAGGAAGATAGCAGTGCTTTCTGAGGGCATTAGAGACAGAATATTTATAGCTAGAAATATTTATAAGAACATGGTTTTGGCTGGGCACAGTGGCTCAAGCCTGTAATCCCAGCACTTTGGGGGGCTGAGGTGAGAGGATTGCCTGAGCCCATGGGTTCGGGACCAACCTGGGCAACTTGGTGAGACCTCATCTTTACAATAAATCAAAAAATTAGTTGGGCGTGGTAGCATGTGCCTGTAGTTCCAGCTACTTGGAAGGCTGAGGCGGAAGGATCGTCTGAGCCCAGCAGGTTGATGCTGGGGTGGCCATGAGCATGCCACTGCACTCCAGCCTGGGCGATGAAGTGAGACTTGAACTCAAAAAAATAAAAAATTTTTTAAAAAAGAACATGGTTTGAAGCAAATTTTCCAAGAGAAAGGGGAAATATAAAAAAAAAAGGTAGAAAAAAATATATCTATTTAAAAAATAAGAACTAGCCAAAGTTGACTGAAAAATGTTGGAAACAAGGAGGATAAAAGCTGGAAAAGTCATTTGAGGCCAAACAGAATACTTAGCATTGAATGCCAGGCTAAGGAGGCATTTAATTTAGTAGTTGGTGGGAAAAAAACTGAATACAGTGACTCAACTAAGATGACAACTTTTGTACTTTAGGAAGACTAAGCAAATATGGATAAAGAGTGGGAAATGAGCAGATCAGAAGCTATGCAAAAAATTTACAAAAGATGGATGGTGGTAATAAGCAGACGGCAAATAAAAAGGAAAAAAAATTTAAAAAGAGGAATCTGAGGAATGTTTTAGAAAATAATACGAACAATTAACTGAATATAAGAACAGTGAAGGCCAGCACCTGGTACAAGAAAGGGAAATTCTTTAAGCTTTGGATACATAAAGTTTTATATGCTGATAGGATGCTCAGAAACGAATGCATAGTAGGAGGCTGGAAATGAAGTAGAGAAAAGAAATAAGCCATATTTCTGAAAAAATAATTTGAAGTCAGCCGGGCTCGGTGGCTCAGCCTGTAATCCCGCGCCTTTGGGAGGCTGAGGTGAGTGGATTGCCTGAGCCCATGGCTTCGAGACCCGCCTGGGCAACTTGGTGAGACCTCATCTCTACAATAAAATCAAAAAATAGCTGGGCGTGGTAGCGCGCGCCTATAGTTCCAGCTACTCAGAAGGCTGGGGCGGAAGGATCGCTGGCGCCCAGCAGGTCGAGGCTGTGGTGGCCGGGAGTGGCTACTGCACTCCAGTCTGGGTGACAGAGTGAGACTCCAACTCAAAAAAAAAAAAAAAAAAAAAAAAAAAAAAAATTGAAGTCAACTCCACAGAGGCAATAGTTTAAGGTTCTTTTTAATATCAGTGATAAAAACTCCAGAGAGAAATGATGAGGCCAGTTCCTTGTGAAACTTAAAGGAAGAATAGAACATTCAAGATACTAGAGAAAGAAGTGGTAAGAAAAGTAAGAGGGAAGTCAAATATTACTATGACAGAAGCACTAAGGAAAAATAACCAAAGGAAAATAAGAGCAATTAAGTAACAATAGGAAATATTAAGATAATGATTTTTTAAAACAACAGTTGTATTTGAGAACGAGCATGATCTTTGACGGTAGCAATTTCAGTAAAGTTGGGTTGCAGTCCAATTGCATGTAGTTAGAGTTCTGTAAAGGGCAGACATCAAATGAAGACCAGTTCTTAGAAATAAATTAGAGAAGGAAATAGAGAATACAAATGCTGACAGGTTGCTTTTCTTTCAAATTAAGTGAAGAATTTTTGTGGATAGGAGACAATACATATAATCCATAGCATGTATCTTAATACACAAAGTAATAAAAATGCAAAATAAAATGTCATTTATATTATCATCTTGAAAAATATGACACATGATGCAAGTGATATAAACAAAAACCATCGGAAATGTGACAGCTTGCATGGAAGGGGTTGTGGACAAGAAGGACTACATATCTGTGACAGTGAAAGAGCTAGCTAGATGCTAGATATAAAAATTTAAACATAAGACATAAAATTAGGAAGAAAAACCGTATTTGGTACAGAAAACAAAAATTATTCTGCAGATCAGAATACATTCTAAATAAGATGTTCTGAAGAATATCCATGTTCACTGAGTAACTTTGTGAATGCTACTAATTTAACTTTCCAACTACCTGTTACTGGAAATAGAAACTGATAAAAAAAAGTCAATATTTTCTGTGATCAAGGGAAAGGAAGCTCTTCAACATGAAACTACTTTTAGCTGATAAAACGTACTTCATTAAGATCCATCAAAAGTAAAATTAATTGTGAATAACTGGCCCAATTTTTAAGGTCAGACTTTAAGTGAATAATTCTATAATTTAAAAGGAATAAATAAAGAGAAACAGCATGCATACTAACTTGATTTTAAGGAAAAAAGTCACAAATTCAAATTATTTGCTTATATCAGACATGCCAATACTTTGGAAATTATTTCACTTTAAAGTGTCTTGCTGGGCGTGGTGGCTCATGCCTATAATCCCAGCACTTTGGGAGGTCAAGGCAAGAGGATTGCCAGAGCCCACGGTTTGAGACCAGCATGAGCAACTTGGTGAGACCTCGTCTCTATAAAAAATACAAAAAAAAAAAAAAAAAAATCAGCTAGGCATGGTTGCGCACACCTGTAGTTCCAGTTACTTGGAAGGCTGAGGAGAAAGGATCACCTGAGCCCAGCAGGTTGAGGCTGCTGCAGCCATGAGCATGCTACTGCATTCAAGCTTGGGCGACAGAGACTCTGACTCAAAAAAAAACCCCAAAACCAAACCAAACCAAAGGGTCCTAATACACATACAAACTTAGCAGTTCCTTAAATCCAATAAACAAAGTCTTTCTAATAGACTTTGAGTAACAATATAGATCAAAAATATTTAGGGCCTAAATAGAAATACCAAATGCAGTGACAGAAGAAATCACTATAAGCAATATCAAAAAGAAAGGTGACCCCAAAATGACTTAGACTTTTTGTTAACTTTAACAAAACACCAGGGTTGCTATAACTATATTTAAAAAAAAGTGTGTATAATCTATTAAACAAAGTTCAGTCGAACAAAGAATGTAATAAAAAGGTTAAGAACATTTCATACACTAGTCATACTAACAAGAATCTGTATTGCTGAAAAAGAGTGACTGCTTTCTTTAAAGCCATAAAAGCTATGGATTTAAACGCACACACTTAAAAGAGGGATTAACTGAATATACATCATCAATAAAAATACTGCTTTTTAGCTTGCCAATTAACCTTCCCTATATCTTAAATTAATATGCCTACCAAAGGAGAACTACTAAATCAGTTATTCTACCATTGTACAGTGTACTTTAAACATGATTTCTAAGAATGATTCATACATATGTTTTCAGGTTCTCATACCTCAAAGGAATAAAACTGAATGACAATCAAAATACAAAATAAATTCTGTGGGAAGAAGCAAAAGTCATACTTAAAGGAAAATTTATAGCTTTGAATGCATATTAGAAAAGAAGACATGCTTAAAACAAATCTTTTTTCAGTCACAAAATGCTAAAAATGAACAGAAAATAAAATACAAAGAGAGTAGGATGAAGAAAATAAAAAAAAACTAAAGTTAATGAAACAATAAGAAACAGAAACAAACATTAAAGTAAATCAATAAAGCCAAAAGTTGGTCCTTTGAAAATTTATAAAATCAAAACACCCCTTGGCAAAGTTTGTTAAGACAAAAGAAAAACTCAAATTACCAATACTAGGTATGAAGAAGAGAACATCAATCACCACAGAACTTACAAACACTAAAAGGCTAAGAACTTTACGCTAATAAATTCAACAACTAGAGGAAATAAATTCCTTGAAAAATGTAACCTTTTTGACACTGGCATAAAAATAATAAGATCTGAATAGTTCTATATCTGTTAAAGAAATTAAAATCATAGCTATAAA